CCTCCCCTGCCCCTTGCTCCCCACCTCCCTCCCATTTCCTCCCCCCCTTAGTTCTCGTCCCTGTGTCCTTCCTATTTGTTCCTCCAAATCCCTCCCCCTTTTTCCCCTTAACTTCCCTTCCTTCTCCCCTCTGGTCACTATCCCCTTGTTCTCTATTTCAGTGTCTTTGTTTTTTGGGTTTTTTTTTTCTGCTTACTTGTTTGTTTTGTTGTTTAGCTTCCTGTTAAAGGTGAGATCATATGGTATTTGTCTTTCAGCACCTGGCCTATTTCACTCAGCATAATGCTTTCCAGTTCCATCCATGTTGTTGCAAAGGGTAGTAGCTCCTTCTTTCTCTCTGCAGCATAGAATTCCATGGTGTATATGTACCACAATTTTTGGATCCATTCATTTACTGATGGGCACCTAGGTTGCTTCCAACTCTTGGCTATTGTAAATTGTGCTGCTATGAACATTGTGGTGCATAGGTTCTTTGATATTGATGTTTTAGGATTCTTAGGATATAATCCTAGCAGTGGAATTGCTGGGTTCTGTTATCACAGATTTTCCCTACTTGTGTTGTGTGTTAATTTCCCAATTGCTTTAGCTTTTGTCTTCTTCCTCTTTTTAAATGTTTTTACACTTTTAGCCTTTCTGTGATATTTAAATGTATAGTACCCTATTCTAAAAATGGGTTGTGATATCCTGCTTCTGTCTTCTGTTGGTATTCTTACTTGTAGTTTTGTGATCTTTTGTTCTTTGTTTCAGTTAGAATAACCCTCTTGAATGAATATCTCCTGCAATAGAGGTCCTTTAGTGGTAAATTTTTTCAGCTTCTGTATGTCTTGAAAGTCTTTATTTCTTCTTCATATGTAAAGAATAACTTTGCTGGATATATTATTCATGACTTATACTTTGAATGTTTTATTCCACTCTCTCTTTCCTTGTATGTGCTCTGCTGAGGAATCTAGTGATAATCTAATGGGATTTTCTTTATAGGACACTGTTTTGTTTTGTTTTGTTTTGTTTTTCCCAAGGCTGCCTTGAGAATTAACCCTTTGTGTTATTTTTAACAGTTGCAATGTAATGTGTCTTAAAGAAGACCTGTTTGGATTGAAGTAGTTAGGTGTTTTTGTTTGCCTCAAATTTGAGAATCTAGCTCTTTCCATGGGTTTGGGAAGTCCTCGTTAGCTGTTTATTTGAATAAGCTCTCTGTTCCCTTCTCCATCTTTTTTTCTCATACGCCTGTTATTTCACATTGTTTTTTTCTGATAAAGTCAGATAATTCTTATAGAGTTCTTTCATTTTTTTATATTCTATAGTCTCTTTTTTCCTCTGAATCATTTCTAGGTTTCTGTCTTTGTAATCACTAATTCTTTCTTCCATCTGGTCAGTTGTATTTCTTAAGCTTGGTTATCTCTTTTACAGAGTTCTGCATCTCAACAATTTCTATTTTGTTCATTTTAGAAGTTTTAATCTTTTTGTAAAGTACTAGTTTTGTTCATTTGTTTTATTTGAGTTTATTAAATTGCTTATCTGTGTTTTCCTGTAACTCATTGTTTCTTTTTTCAGAACTGCAATTTTGAACTCTGTTATAAGTCACATATTTTCATGTCTTTTTAAAGTTAATTTTCTGAATATTTTTAAGTTTTGTTTCTGAGCTGCCTTAACATGACATTGTTTTTCATGACATTTGATGAATTCCTTCTCTGTCCAGGTATTTATGTATGAGTAGCGCTTTTCTAGTTGATTGATAAAAAGAAGACTTTTTATTGTTTTCCAGAACAAGACACTGAACACAAGTTTTTTGGTTTTCTTGTACTTCTCAAGCTTTTCATATTTCTGTGAGTTAATAAAGAATGTCTTGTGTTCCCTGGGATGGTGAGTGTCTCCTCTGTGTCTAGGTCACCGTGTTCTCAAGGGACCAACTTCTCAATGGAATGTGGTAGCCAATGTGTTTTCAGTCTGTGAAATCTCAGGGCCATCCTCTGAAACCATATGCTATTGACAATGCAGCCACAATGAGTGTGTGTATGGGATGAGCTGGGGAAGGCTGCTTGCTGCTTTTGCTGCTTTGTTCATCCAGTAATAATGACTTAGAAGACCTTAGCAGCTTCCCCTCTGTATCTTCACTGATCCTCGGATTAGTGCAGACTGCAGCTATCACTCAGGGAAAAATGTTTTTGTACTACCAGCTCTCAGATTTGCAGATAATGTGCTTGCAACACAACACTCACTGCTACAGCTTCTTCTGGGCCCTGCTGCTATCTCTGGGAGGGTATGAGGTGTGCTTTGAGAGGGTGCAAGGAGGTGACCAGACTTTATGGCTTTGTTTTTTATCTGAAATGCCAGCTGTCAGACAACCATGGCTGCACCTCTGTTTTTTTGTCCTAATCCAGGTCACTAGTTTCATCCACAGCTCATACTGACCACCCTGAAGAAACATTTACTCCATTTTTCTGTACTCCTGATGGGGGCTGAAGGGAGTGCCAACAGCAGCCTGATTTCCTCCCTCTCCTGGTTGAGGCATTCAGTGATCTCTGGGCTGCGTCCTCGGCACTATCTCAACTCTTCTTTCTGTCCACCTCTCTGGTTTGCTCCCCTTGCCCACCTTCAAATGTTTTAATGCCCAGATTGCTCAGCTGTGCTTGTGCATTGAGCAAGGAATCCTTTGTTGAATTATAGCTATACAAATTATTGAAACTTCAAGGGGAAAGGCCAAGGGACCCTCTTAAGACCCCATTGTTCTGTCCTTTATTCTTATTTTTCCTTTTTGAATAAACTTCATACTGTTTCCACAGTGGCTGTACCAATTTGCATTTTATTAGCAGTGTATGAGGGATCCTTTTTTTCCACATCCTCTTTGACACTTGTTATTTTTTGTCTTGTTGATAATAACCATTCAAACAAGTATGACATAGTGTCTCATTGTGGTTTTTACTTGGCTTGCAGTGAAGTTTAACATCTTTTCATATATCTGTTGGCTATTTGTATATTTTCTTGAGAAAATGTCTTTTCGGGTCTTCTGCCTATTTTTTAAATTGGATTGCTTGTTGTTGTTGCTGCTGTGTTGTATGAGTTATTTATATATTTGGATATTAGACCTTTATCAGAGATTTTGTTTGTACATATCTTCTAACCTTCAGTTTTTTGCCTTTTTGTTTTGTTGATTTCTATGTGTGTGTGTGCAGAAGCCTTTTAATATAATGTAGTCTTATTCATTTGTAAAAATAATTTTATATTGGTTTTTATTTCATTATTTGGGTTACATTTTTATTGTTGTTCAATTACAATTGTTCCATATTTTTCCCCATTGCTCTCCCTTGCCTCACCCACCCCCATCCCACAGTCAAACCCTATCCTCTTGTCCATGTTCATGAGAGCTTGGTTTTTATTTTACTCAGATCATTAGTTTCATAAGGCCAGTTATGCGGTATATTCTTTGAGTTTTTGAATGTTCCAATATGAATATACTTTGTCCTCATAAGAGAATAATAATTGGCCTGAACAAAAATTTTTAAGGTTATCTCATTACCTTGGAATTCTGAAATATTTCCCCACAGCATCAAACATGAGCCATGTGAAGCCAGTTTCTTAGAATTCAAAAACAATGGATGAGATTGAGCATGAACTTTTCTAAAAATTCTGGGCACAATTCTGTGAGTTTCCCATATTATAAAAATAGAGGTTTTATGGATTTTTTTCTCTTAAGACTTCTCTCTGAAATCTTAGTGTCTGGTATACCTTTTGGCTAGTCAGTTGGGTTCTGATTAAATGTCAGTCAAATGCTTACATGAAAACCAAATAAAGGAATAGTATTTAAACTTTCTTCAGCCTGCCACAGAAATTACCAATGAAAGTAACAAAAATAAATACTCAATACAGTAAATAATTCTCCCATGAATATTCCAGTACCCTGAATTTACTTTCTTGTATCAAATAAAACTTCTTTCTAATCAGACACTACTGAGGAAACATTAGTGCTCCCGGGCCATGGACTGTGAAAAGAAGGCTGCATGACTTCTCTTTATACTCAGAGTACCAATAAACACATTCAACTCATTTAGGGTATAGAAGGGATCCAAGACCCCTGCATATTCCCTAGACAACATGAGTGATTATCTATCTATCAGCTCACCATTTCCAGGTCAAGCCCACTCATGCATCCCTTTAACAGTGGTAGTTTGTATGACTGGAGAAACTGAGCAAAAGAGTATTTTCCATAGATTATCTGATCATCTGTATTGCTACTGCTACTCTTTTTCTCACTATAGATTATGGAAATTTACCTGTGAATTATACAGTTATACTCTAAATGCCTAGTGTCTTCTGATATGATTTTGTGAAGAACAGAAAAAAAAGAGGAGAGTCTGAGGGGACAGGGAGAACTGGTACAGCAATGAGAAGAGTGACAGTAGATTCCAGAGGGAAAAATAAAGGGTAAGCAAAAAATATATAGAGAAGACTAAGAATAGGGAGAAAGGAATAAGGGGAAGATAACAGGAGAGAAACGAGAAGACCACAGAAAGATAAGGAGTGGGGGGACTGTTGGAAAGGCCACTGGGAACTACTGAAGACCTTCTTCTCTCACTCCTTCTTATAGAAAAGTATATTGAAAATCCAAGTGTGGGTTTGATTTCTCCAAGGCCCAAAGGTACTGAATTTTCCTGCCAGGCTACAGACTGCAGACTTTATTATTTTTAAAGACTTTATTTATTTATTTCTAGAATGGGGGGAAGAGGCAGAAAGAGAGGGAAACATCAGTGTGTGGTTGCCTCTTGAGCACCCCTCACTGGGAACCTGGCCCACAAACCAGGCATTTGCCCTAAGAATTGAACCAGTGATCCTTTAGTTTACAGGCTGGCACTTAATCCACTGAGCCACACCAGCCAGGGGAGACTTTATTATAAGACAGAACTCCTTTCATAGTTGTTGGTGAAATTAGGAGGTTTGGAGGTAGGCAAGAGCAGGAAGAAAATCTGGAAGCCAGCTAGTAGGAGAGGTGGAAGAGAAATAAGATACCCTGTGGGAGGTTTGTGGCTGAGGGAGGTAGTAGGGTTTCTCTTACAGGGAAGTGAGCAGAGAAAGAGGTTTTGTTTGTGTGTCAAGGGAAGTTAGGTAAGAATTCAAAAGGATTTGAAGGGGGAGCTGATATCTGAGTTCTGAGAAGAGTTTGTCTTGCTAAGGCATCATTCACCTAACAGAGCTTCAATGCTGCTTCTTCTGCTCCTGCTTTTCAAGAAAATTCTTTGCCATGGGCCAAGCACAATGGGTAAGAAGAATCCCAGTAGACAAATATTTGTGGTTGGGCATAGTAGGGTGCATGAAAAGTTCTGGGGAGAATCTGGGAGCAAGGAGTAATGCTCCTACTAGGTGCCCTTGAAATCTGTGTGACAGTTTAGTTCCAGGCAATGCATCCTTGACCCCAGTCTCAGCTTCTTTCTCTGATTTGGGGGAGGAGGGGCTGAATCAGGGAGAAGGGGATATGGAAATATGTGCAAACTCTGTAACTATCTCCATTTTTCTTTTTGTATATGGTCCTGTTCTCTCCTTCTTTCACCCTCTCTCAATTGTCATTTCTTTGTCTCTCAGCTACCCAAGTTCTAGGACCCCATCACCTAGCAGCAGCAGAAGAGCCCCTCTCCTTTCGCGTGCTCCAGATCTTCTCCTTTGCTAACCACAGCTGGGCACAAACCCAGGCCTCAGGCTGGCTGGGCGAGTTGCAGACTCATCGCTGGGACAGTGTTTTGGGCACCATCCACTTTCTATGGCCCTGGTCCCAGGGTAGTTTTAGCAAGGAAGAATTGAAGAACCTGCAATACCTATTGCAGTTGTACTTCCATAGTTTCCCTCAGGAAGTTCAGGCATTTTCCAGTCAGTTTCAGTTTGAATGTGAGTATGCTTTTTCAAGCTGATATTTGCCTGGGGTTCTGATCAGGGGAAGATGGTATATGGGTTCTGACCATCTTTCAACCTTCCTGACATTTTTCTTTCTCCTCTGGTTCACTTTCTCCACTTTGCTTCATCCTTCACAAACATTCTCACTCTACCTCCACCCCACCACATACACAGAAAGACTTACATGTACACATCTCTTCACATTCTTAAACATACCCTCATATGCTGGCTCCTTGAAATAGTTTTCTCTTTTTGATGCTCTTTCCTTCATCCTTGGCCTTATACTCAGGCTTTCAACACCAGAATCTTGCTCTTCTTTCTCCTTACCCTGATTGTTCCGGTGGCCTACCTAACCAGTACCTAACCACTCTCATGTGAGTTCTTCTTGACTTGTCCACTGTGTTTCTAATAGTCTTCTCATTGAGCCCCTTTGAATCAGTTGTTTCAATATACCTTTATTATTTTCACATTTTCTCCCCACAAATTTCTTCTTCTTTTTCCATCCAAACTCTAGTCTTCCATGGGACTAGAACTTTTTTCTTTGTATCCCTTTACTTTCTAGATTGTTTACTTTCTTTCCCTATAATTCTTTTTTATATTGACTCTTTTTTTCTTGTCCATCCCCAGATCCCTTTGAGCTCCAGATATCATTTGGCTGTAGAATGCGTTCTGGGAAGGCTTCAGAAAACTTCTTAAATGGGGCATACCAAGGATCAGATTTCCTGAGTTTCCAAGGAAATTTCTGGAAGCCATCTCCAGGAGCAGGGAGTCAGGCTCAGAAAGTTTGTAAAGTGCTTAATCGCTACCGAGTTATTAAAGAAATTGTTCAGATCCTTCTCATTGACACCTGCCCTCGATATCTAGTAGGCCTCCTTGAAGCAGGGAAGTCAGAACTGGAACGACAAGGTGAGCCAAACTTTTTCTACCCTTATATTTTTATATTCTTGTATTTGAGTTTTTCACTCTTTATCACCCCTTTGAAGCCCATAATAAAACCCAGGGCTAGAGGATGGGTTAGGGTTTAGGACTGTTTCCAAGACAAGTGATTATTCCAACTACTAAGGTATCCAAGTCACTAAGCTATGGCTTAGGATGCCCTCTTAAATTCCATTTTTCTCCCCTTCTTCTTTCCAGTGAGGCCAGAAGTGTGGTTGTCCAAGGGCTCTAGTCCTGGTCCTGGACGTCTGCTACTGGTGTGCCACGTTTCTGGCTTTCATCCAAAACCTGTATGGGTGATGTGGATGCGGGGTGAACAGGAGCAGCTGAGCACTCAGCGAAGTGAACTCTTGCCCAATTCTGACAGAACATGGTATCTTCGAGTAACCCTGAATGTGGCAGCTGGAGAGGCAGCTGGCCTGACTTGCCGAGTGAAACACAGCAGCTTGAGAGGCCATGATATAATCATTCAGTGGGGTGAGAAAGAACAAGGGCCCAGATGGGAAATGATAATCTTCTCATAATTTCAGGGTGAAATGGATAGGAATGATATACACCAGAGTATAAAAGTGGGAAAATATAAATAAAGAAGATAAAGAGTGATAGCAATTAAATTTTTTTGAAAAACCCACAGAAGTAGATGATTAGAAATACTAAAGAGGAAAAAAAGGTATAATTATTTCGCAAAAAAAAAAAAAAGAGATGAGGTGAGGTCAGGGACATAGGAAGAATTGAAATGAAGATTCTAGAAAATACAGAAAAAAACTATTGGAATTTCTCTCTCCTATAAAAAGAGAAACATTAACTGAGGTAGAATAGAGAGTACTTCATAGATTGACATTCTTATTTTATCCCCAACCAGATGGATACCCCATCCTGCTGATATGTATCTGTTTGGCTGTATTAGTTACCCTGGTTATCTTGGTTTTGTTTGACTCGTGGTTTAAAAAGCAAAGGTGAGACTTTTCTTGTTCTGTTTCTTCAACTACTTATGAACTAATTGTATTAATTGTACTTAACTGATTGTATTTTTCCCTATTGTTTTTCTTTTTTACCTTTTTCTGTCTAATTTTCCTTCTTTTATATCAAGCTCTTCTTCTCTTCCCACAGCTCAAATCAGAACATCTCCTCTCCTCATGTACTCAACTCTGCTTTTCCCACAGAAGCCAATATCCAAGAACCCAGGAGTTCAGGAAGTTTTCTCTGCTTGGCACAGAAATCTTGGATCAAGAATAGATTCTTAAAGAAATGAAAGATAAGCCTAGATCAACTCTAATGACATTTGTTCCACTTTATACATAAGATGTTTGCCTACTTCTTGTTAAATATGGTTTATACAAATAAACAAAATGCGATTTTGTTAAAACATCTTATTCTGGCAGAGATTCTGACTCTGATTTGGAAGAGTTTCATAAACCTGTCTCCCTCCCCCATCTTGTGACAATCTCTTTTCTGCTTTGGCCATATGTTCATTTATCCTTCAAACTCAAACTCAGAGTCCCGTTTCTCATGGAAGCTTCTCTGGATTACTTAATTTAAATCTCAAGACAAGTACTATATGATTCCACTTATATGTGAAATCTAAAAAACAAAATAGAAACAGATTCATAAATACAGAGAACAGACAGACAGTTGTCAGAGGGGAGGGAGGTTTGGGAGCTGGGTGAAAAGGTGAAGGATTAAGCAAAAGAAAAAAAACCTCATAGAAACAGTTAATAGTATAGTGATTACCAGAAGGAGAGGGATTTGGAGGGAAGTAGAATGGAGGGTAATGATGTTAGAAGAAGATTTGATTTAGGCTAGTCAATGCACAATACAACATTTAGATGGTGTCTTAAAGAATTGTACACCTGAAACTATATAATTTTATTAACCAATGTGACCTTAATAAATTCAATAATAAAAGAAATAAAAATTCTGTAACTACAAAGAAAGAAAATATCTCTTGTATGTTCTTCAAATTGTACTAATCTCCCTAAATGCATTATTTATTTGTACTCTGAACACTGTTATTTGGGGTTTTGCTCTTTTTTTTCTTTTTAAATATCAGTTTCTTAAAGGCAGAATTTTGAGTTTATATTTGTATTCATGATGAAAACCATAACCTGAATTCAGGGCCAGCTTGATGGGCATTTGACCTGTTTAGCTGTTGCCATCTTGAAATTCTTAGTAATTTTTGAATGAAATATTGCATTTTAATTTCATACTGACCCCACAAATTCTGTAGCTGGTTCTGTCTGAATATGATGTATTTTAATTATTCTGAAAAAAATAAATAAATTTAAAATAAATTTAAATTTATTGTCAAATTAATTCATTCCCTCTTTGACATATCTGCATCTTTGGCTGTTATTATTAAAATGTCTTATTTCTCCTTTTTTCACTCACCAGAGGTGAAGAGGCAGAAAAACGCTTCAGACTTATAGTGACTGGTGTTTGTACATCTTTAGAGATATTTCGAATATAATGATATATGAGAAATCTTCTGTCAAAATGAGAATGGTGTTAGACTGGCATTTCCATTTCTCTGAGATTGTGCATGTGTGTATATTAGTAGATAAGCATATTCAGGGGAGAAATTAATATTTTGAGAAATTTGGAAGAAGAAGTGGGGATTGGGGATAATTTTAATTGGCAGAGCCAAGGCAATGAAGGAAAGAGTGATTGGATGCCTGCCAAGATATATGTTTATTTTTCTTTACTATTTTGGTATGTTATTATATTATCATTACTATTTATAGTTTGTTTTCCTCTTACATTTTATATAAAATTTTTAATTATTTAATTATTTTAATGGAGGTACATTTGAGCCTGTTGGAGAGCAGAAAGCTGTTAAGATGCAGTTTATACTGATGTCCAACCAACACCTTCCTTTGAATGTGGTAATTGACAAGATTGGTAATTTCTTTTTTTAAAGATTTTATTTATTTATCTTTTAGAGGGGAAGAAAAGGAGAGAAGGGGAGAAGTATTGATGTATAGTTGCCTCTTGTGCATCCCCTGCTGGGAATTGGCCTGCAACTGAGGCATGTGCTCTGACTGGGAATCTAACTACAATCCTTTGGTTTGCAGGCCCGCACTCAATCCACTGAGCTACACCAGACAGGCAGATTGGTAGATTTCTTAGTGAAAGTTTCTATTTTCCAGTTAGCAGATACTTCCATGACCACTTACCAAGGCTGTACTCTTAACCATGAGCAAAGTTTAGGGGCTAACTGTTCCATTGTTTAGAACCCATCACCTATTTTATGACATCTTTATCTATAGGCAGAGCCCTAGAGTCTAGAGAGAAAGGTAGACTTTTAATAAACTCTTTGGAGCAATAACAAATAAAAGTGATGCAGACACTGGCCTGCAGTGTCTGAGTCATTATGGAAGAAATAAGACATTCACATTGACTACTGAGTCTAGTGGAAGAAAAGGGACAGCATGGCTTTTCTCTCAAGGAAAGCAAAAGCCCCAGTCCTTGCCATGACCAGCCTTTATTGGGTTTCTCAGCACATTACATGATGGTCCTCATTTACTACACACAGGTTGCTTTTGGTGGTTACCTTTTACAGAAAACAAAGGAGTCAAGCCCTGGCTGGTGTAGCTCAGTGGATTGAGCACAGGCCTGCAAACCAAAGGATTGTGGTTCAATTCCTGGTCAGGGCACATGCCTGGGTTGCAGGCAAGTTCCTGGCAGGGAACGCATGAGAGGCAATCATACATGATATTTCTCTCCCTCTCTCTTTCCCTTCCCTGCTAAAGATAAATAAATAAACTCTTAATAAATAAATTAATTAATTAAAATAGGGGGAGAAAGAAAACAAAGGAGCCAGTGCCCCTAATCACACCATAGAAGAGGGATATTTGCAAATGAAAAGGGAAAAGTGGTTGAACCGGTTACACTCATCCTTGGATGGTTAAGCACAAATTTTAGGAAGTTACTTTGCAGTAAATGTTTGCCACTGGTGGCTGGGCCTACCCCACACAGAATGGTCTCCTACAAAAGGTCAAGATTTTATGACTATGAAAGAAGGACACAGGAGTGACTCCTATCAAATCTGAGAGAACATTTAGTTTCTAGCAGAGGCATGTGATATGAATATATTTTCAATGTTTTCTATGGAATAGACTTTGCTCCAAGACTCTAGTATTTTGATCACAATATTCTTTATTTTTTTTATTATATGAAGTGTTAAAGGGACTTATCTAAGAAAAAGAAGATAAAACACATATTTAGTAAAATGACAGCAAACTCACAATTATTAACAAGCACACCTAAAACAAAAACAGAAACAAAGTAAGCAAACAACTAGAACAGGAACAGAACCATAGAAATGGAGATTACATGGAGGGTTAGCAACAGGGTAGTGGGAGGAGGAAAGAGGGGGAAAAGGTACAGAGAATAAGCAGCATAGATGGTAGGTAGAAAATAGACAGAGGGAAGGCAAGAATAGTATGGGAAATGTAGGAGCTAAAGAACTTGACACATGGACATGAACTAAATGGGGGAAATGTGAGTGGGAGAGGGTATGCAGGGTGGAGGGGAATGAAGGGAGGAAAAGAGACATCTGTAATAGCATAATCAATAAAATCTATTAAAAAAGAATTTAATTTATCATAGAGGAGTAGGGAGGGGAAAATAAAGGGAGAGAAACATCTATGTGAGAGAGATACATTGATCCATTGCTTTGCACGTGCCTCCAAATGGGGACATGGCCCATAAGCCAGGCATGTGCCCTGACTGGGAACTCAACTGGAAACCTTTTGGTCCTTAGGCTGGCACACAATCTGTTGAGCCACACCAGCCAGGTGAATTCTTAAATATGGCCAAAGCCACATTTCCTTGTCTTATGTCAAATCTTTCCCCCACTATATATTATGCTTCTGTGACACTAAACATGGGGACCAGGGCAAGAGTAGAAATAGAAGGACCAATTTCAAACCTGTTGTAGTAATTTGAGAAATTTTTGATAATAATAAACCATAGCACCTGAGACTGATGTGGTAAAAAGAGACTTAAACTGTGTGTATTTTGAAAATAGAACCAATGTGTTTTAAAGATAAATTCCATTTGTTGTATTAGAAAAACAGGGAGTCAGGAATGACTCTAGGTTTTTGGCTATAGAAGTTGGAATTCTATTTGGAATTACAATTAGCTAGATAGATAAGACAGATAAAAAGGGAACAGATTTGGAGGACAAACTAAGAATTTGCTTTTGGATGTTTAATTTGAAATTCCTGTTAAGGTTCAGAATGGAGAAATCAAACAGACCATTGGGCTTAGGCCTAGAATTGAGATGTATTCATGCTAAAGACACTTATTTGAGAGCAATATCAAAAATGTTTGAGAACTACTGTACAATGGTGGGATGTCCATAAGAATAAATAGCTGGAATACAATGTTGTGACTGCTAATTAAAAATCACTGTTTTGTTTTCTGAGTTAGGTTGAGGTCATCAGAAAAGTAGTGGCCAGTTTTTCCTGATGGTTTACAAAACAGACCTTGGATATTCCACTAAGATTGAAAGCTGAAAGATGATTGGTACACCGGGCCCACTTATGATGAAACTTCAAACTGTGGAAGTAAAGGCATAGAGATAGACATTTCAGTTTTGAATGTTATGGGAATTCTAAACATTTAAAGATACCTGAAAAATAGAGCTATATTATTCAAAGCATGGTACAACTGCAAAAGAAAAAGAATTCAAAAACTGTTAAAAAATAACAGGATCAGACTTAGGATATAGTTGTTACTTGTCTAAAATGTGTTATAATATCAGTATGAAGGCTGAAATTAAGCATTTAAAAACTTTTATAACAAATCAACAGAGTAATTTTATGTATTTTAAGCTAGTACTATAACAAAAATTTATCTTTTTATTATTTAAAATAATTCATTTTCATTACTTTTTAGAAAATGATTGATACATAATAAATTTGGGGGAAATTACTTTTTGTCAGATAGATTGAGAAACACAGACATAGAATGTCAGGAAGTAAGCATGATCATATATAAAAATAGGACATAAACCTTTGCATGTCATGTTGCATTATTTGTACATGATCTCATAAAAATAGAAGGCCACAGATTTTAAAATATTTTAAAAACACTAGAAATTTATGTTAAACATTTGTCAACATATATTAATGTACTAGCAAATAAATCAGTAAGTTGCTAAAAGATAAACATTAAAGTTCTAGAGATGATATAGAATTGGATGAGTGATAAATTAGGAAAACAAATTGCTTGTGAAATAAGAGTGATTAAAATGTTATTTCAGTTTTATGAAAGCATTATGACCAAGTCCTTTGTTTTTGTTTTTAACACAGGAAGTCTGTAAAAAAGATGATCTGAGGTGACTGGTGTGCAGACATTAGGTCAAAAGAAACAAAAACAAAAGAAACAAACAACAGGACTCTTAGGGTAGAATCCCACCAGTGGAATTACTGGGTCAAAACAGCAGTTCCACTTTTAGTTTTCTGAGAAAATTCCATACTGTTTTCCACAGTGGCTGCACCAGTCTGCGTTCCTACCAATAGTGTCCTAAAGTTCCCTTTTCTCCACAACCTCACCAGCACTTGTTTATTGATTTGTTTATGATGGCTATTCTGACTGGCATAAAGTGGTATCACATTGTGGTTTTAATTTGCATCTCTCTGATGATTAGTGATGCTGAGAATTTTTTTATATGTCTTAGGGCGCTCTGTACATCCTCCTTGGAGAAGTGTCTCTTAAGGTCCTTTGCCCATTTTTAATTCCACTGCTGAGATTATACCCTAAGAATCCTGCAACACTAATTCAAAAGAGCCTATACACCTCAATATTCATAGCAGCACAATTTAAAATAGCCAAGTTCCAGAAGCAGCCTAAGTACCCATCAGTAAATGAATGGATCAAAAAACTATGGTACATTTACACAATGAAATACTACACAGCAGAAAGAAAGGAGGAGCCCCCACCCTTTGTGACACCCTGATGGATCTGGAGGGCATTATAGTAAGTGAAATAAGCCAGGTGGTAAAAAACAAATACCATATAATCTCACATATAGGTGGAACCTGATCAACAAAATAAACATCAAGCAAAATATAACCAGAAGCATTGGAATAAAGAACAAACTGACAGTAACCAGAGAAGTAGGGGAAGGGGGTAAATGGGGGAAGGGGAAGGGTTATCCAGGAACATGTATAAAATACTCATGGACAAAGCCAAATGGGGGTTGGCTTAAGGGTGGGAGGTGGGGATAGGTGGGGCAGGGGTGAGTATTGGGGTGAAAATGGAGACAACTA